GGGCACCCCCCCCGATTAGCGCATTGGGATTCCCGCCAGGCGGCCTTGCGACGGGGCTCGTTGTCCTTAGAGCGCGAAATTGTCCTTTCCCCCAGGGCCCCGAGGTAACACCCCCCCAACACACACACACACACACACACACACACACACACACACGACCCGTCTGTCTTTGGTATCTGCTCCATTCGTCAGTGGTTCGTCTTACCTCCCAGCACATCCACCCACACAATTGGAACCCCAGATCGATCCCCACTGTGGCCCTGCCAGCTGCTTTTTTGGCACATACCAACCCTCCGCCAAAACCCCTTCCGTCTCTTCGTACACACACATATTTCTCGCATACATACATACATAGATACATACATACATACGTTTTCACTATATACATACATACGCACGCGCACGCGCCCGTTGTTCTCCATCGCGCTGGGCTCCACAGGCTCAAGACGGTTAGCGGTTGGTGGGCCGGTTTGTTGGCCATGATGATTCCTCTGGGTCGGTTGGCGGTTGACTCCGCAAAGGACGCGGTACGGCGGCTGAGGGCGCAGAAGAGGCACCTGCGGGAACAACAACAACAACAAGAAAAGCAGAAGCAGCGTCAGCAACTCGAGCAGCAGCAGCCACAACAACAATAACAATAACAATAACAACAGAAGCAGCAGTAGAACTAGTAGTAGTGGTGGTAGTAGTGGTGGTAGTAGTGGTGGTGGTGGTAGTGCTAGAAGCAGCAGTAGCAGCAAGAGGAGGAGGAGGAAGCAGCAGGACTGGGAGGGGAGGCGGAGGAGGTCCAGATCGGGGGATGTTAACGACCTCGGCAAGGTGCAGTGGCAGCAGCAGCGGAAGCGGGCGGAGGAGGAGGGAGGAAGGAGGACGGGGGAAAGGAGGCGGAGGAGGGGGAGGGAGAGAGGAGGCAAAGCTGATGAAGAGGCGGAAAGCAGCAGCAGACAACGACTAATAGAGGGAAGAGCCGAAGACGTGGGAGGGGGGAAGTGGGGGGGGGGCGGTGGTAGCGGCGGCACCAGCCGTACTAGCCGTGGAGGTGGGCGCACACGTCAGCAGGGCCTGGATGTCACATGTGTATGTATTTGTATGTATGTGTGTGTGTTTATGTGTGTGTGTGTTGCGTCATCACTTCATCAAACGTGTCACACCGACACCGGCACTGAGTGAGGGTAGCTCCCGTACCCGACACCGTTAGCCGGGGGGGGGGGTAGGGTACCCGGGGGGGGTGGGTAGGGGCGGCCTCAGGGGCTCTGATGATCCCCATGATGGAAAGCCCCTGGAGAAGGAGCGGCGGACAGATGGACAGACAGACAGACAGATAGACACACCTACGCGCTAAGGCAACTCCCATCAATCCCATCATCATATCTCCACCCTACTACTCAAGCGAGGGACCCCTTAGGCCCCCCGCGGGGTGTTACGGCTACACGGCGGATGGCTAGTTGTTAAAAATTGGAAGCTGCCTACTGAAACCACCCACCCAGCCAACCAACCACCCACCTGCCCGCCCGCCCGGAAGTCGGAAGCCCCACTTTGGCGCGCTCCAGGCGGCGCTTAGGCCCCTCAGGGGGACACAGATCAGGTCACAGCAAAGCCGCGGTGGGGCTTCCCTGACAGCTGTTTTTTGGGGGGGGGAAAGCATGATGCCGCGGTAAGCCTGGTTCGTGAAAAAATTACATGAAAAATGTATGAGCCACACCCCCAACCACCCAGCATAGGACAGCATAACCAGCTCACGACGTGCAGAGGTGCGGCTGTTAAGGCGCCCGCTGAGGGGGCCCCCCGTCATGTATTTGACGGTCAGGACATACCGCCCTAGCACACCAGGCTCTTGACCACCGAGTCATCATCGCTAGGCGACGTAGCCCGCTGCTACACTCACTGAAAAGGACGTCGCTGCCCCCACCTTTCCCTTTCCCTACTTCCCAGCGAACGTTACGGCTGCGCAGGCAGCAGCACACATACAGCACGGATACGGACACGGCATGACGGCCACCTGTGGCCATCCGAAAGGAGAGATGACGAGGTCGACGAGGGAACTCTAAACACCCTTTCCGGGCAACCTCCAGCCAACGAAGACAGCGCCATGCGAATAAGCCATATCAGTCCATTCAGTCTTTGCCCCCCTACTCACCCGCCTACCTGCCTGCCTATCAAAGTATTAACCGAGCCCCACCGGGCGGTAGCTATAGGGGGACCCTCGGTAGGGCGACTGGGGGGAGTTACCTACCGGCCTTTACCCGTCACGCGAGTACTACTGCGCTCTGAGCCTCTGAAACACGAAACAAGACTCTCCTCTCCCTCCCCGGCCTGATCCGGCTCTTGGGGTGAGGGTTCACTAAGACAGAGGAAACCCGGAAACCCTGTACGGGCCCAGCCGCGCCGGGGCTCACGCCGAGCTCTGCAAAGCCCTGAACCCGCTGCCAGAAGTCGACGGCACCGCACGCGGGCTCTCGCGACCTCCAACGGGGCTGTGCTGGGGCCTCGGGCGCCGCGGGTGTGGGCTGCCGCCCGCAATCCCGCCAGTGCACATTCTATGGTGGACAGCGCCGCGACCTGCTAGTGGTACCACCGCCTGCCCCACTGGGCACTCCCAGAAGTGGTGCGCACGCGGGGATATGTATGTTTATGTGTGTGCGAAGGTTATTGCACGTATCTGAACGGGCCTGACACTGCGTATGTATATCTGTGTGTGCGGTGGTGGGGTCTGGGACTGAGTGCTCTTGCGACGTTGGGAAGCCGCCTTCTGTTTTTCGTCTTCCTCCGTGCCTCCTTGCATCCCATCACGATTGTCTCCGTGTAGACCTGCGGTCCCCGGATGGCGTCAAACCCGACACCACTGTCCGCTCCCAGCCCCCGCCCGTCCCCCCAATCGCCTGGCAGGCTGTTGATGTTTCCCCGGTCTTGCCTCTTGTGATGCGCTGTGATTCAAGCTGTGGTTTAAACAGTACTGGTGCTGTTGGTTCCGGAGCCGTTGATTCATCCTGTGCTGTGTTGTGTTGTGAAACTTTGAAACCGTGAAACGACGTAATGCAACATTTACGTTTTAGTTATGCTAAACGGTCAACCACCATCACCAACCGAAACTCATCTTTGATTTGCCTTCCAACGATACATGGTACCGCTGCCGTGCGTACGTCGAAACAAACACACAAGTCTCCTCCCTGTTTGAACCGGGCGAGCAGAGCAACATGCCGCCGCAGACCGAGCTGGCCAGTTATGAGCTACGAGTGGTCCGGAAGGCCGATGGACCTGATGCAAAAGTTGGACCCTAAGTCATTTCAGGCCAGGGGTCCAGGCACTGCCGGCGCGCCCACTTCCGGCCCAGCTTCTCGCCGCACGCACCTATACCTAGATAGGATTAGCGAAAGCTCCAACTTGGCCCCTTAGAGAGCCCCTTCCCACACCGCCTCCCTCCTTCCCTCCAGGTCCACGCCATCCTCGTCGCCTCTTGTCGCCTCTTCCGAACACCCTGCTGCGCCCACCCACTTCCAATTCCGTGGATCGTAAACACGTCAAAAAAATGTACAGGCCATACAGCCGCAGAAGCTCAGATCGACCATATGCGCAAAAGCCGGGCCAGCACTTGGTTGGCCTCGGCAGCCGGGCGGCCTATGGACAACATAAGAGAGTTCGACTTTCTTCGCAGCGAAAGAACAACAACAACAGCGGTGATGACGATGATTTTGACTATAACGTTGTACTGTATTGAGTTGGTGGCGCCGGGCAGCAAAGGCGGCAGAGCTTCAGAACAACACCACCGCTCTACGACGTGTGTGAGAGGGAACCAACATCGTCATGACGATAGAATAAAAAACCATAATGCGTCTTTTTTTGAAGTGATGGCTCTAAACCGTCTCCTGAAACACAAACCGCATTGATGTGAGCACAAACGTGCAAAAGAAGTCCACACAGTTCCGCACATTCGCGGACACAGTCACACACAAATACATTCGCATACAACGACCTCACACGTACACACACACACGCACATGGAAAACACGTCCTCGTCATCATTAACAACAGCAGCAACAATCACACAAGGACACCACCACAGCACCACAGCATTAGGGACAACCGAAAACTAAATTTTTTGGGGGTTAAGTGCGGGGCGTGCCAGCCGGTTGGCTGGGCGCCTGACCAACCTCAACGAGGCTCTTCCCTCTCCTGCGCCTCACACGGAGCACACCTTTCCCTCCCCCCCGAGAAATCCCCCCGGATATACGAACCAGCCAAGCCGAGCCGAGCCCTGGATTTGGATCCAGAGTCCGAATTCCAGCGCCGCAACCACGGCGGGTTGGAAGCTTCCCTCCCCCTCTTTTCCCCTCCTGGGAAAGCCGACGAAAGCCTTTTTGGAGTTAGTCGCGTGGCTCATTCGTCCGGGAGCCACCCGACCCGTGCTGGTGCTGGTGGGGGGGAGGGTGCTGGTGGGGGGGAGGGTGCTGGTGGGGGGGAGGTCGGCGCTGTGGGTCAATGGCCTAGGGGATCTGGGACCCAGGGAAGGCGCCAGGGAGGAGGTTGAGGTGTTGGTAGATGTCGATTAGTAGGGTAGGGGGGTAAGATGAATACAGTGAAGGGCAGGAGGGGCTGAAAGCAGTCAAGAGCAATCGCGCACACCCATGTCGAGGAGCTCGAGTTCTCGAACCGGATCTACTGCAGGGCCACATTTCGCGCACATACATACACACACCACACCCTGCAGCGGCCGTATTTACATCGTACACATGCACACGTATTTATGTATGTATGTACGTATGTATGAGTGCCTAATTGCATGCATAACGTGGATACGCATACATGTCATTACGTACATACACACATACGTACATACATACATATACGCATATGCACATAGAGAGACAAATGAGACAGACACATCACAGCCGAACACCATCATCATCACCACCACCAACAGCAGCAGCAATGTTGCGAGCCCGAGGAGACGCTCGCTCGCGCTTGCGTTCTTTTCCGTTCATCAATGCCAGTTCTCGCCGCCAGAGGCGCCACAGCACAAGCACGACCAACCAACCGACATGATCAACCAACCAAGCGACCGCCCCGCCCCAAATGGCCTCGTACTGTACGACAGAAGACGAGGCGTTTTAAACGCGCTGGGGGGTTTGTGATGCAGTTAGTCCTCCGAGCGCTAAGGGAGGGAGGGAGGGAGGGAGGGAAGAGCACCAAAAATAAGGGGCAGCAAAAAGGTAGATAGGAACAGCGAGACAGAGAAGAGGATGAAGGGGGGGAGCAGGAGAGGGTGATGGCGCACATCGCCCTGGGCGCCACAACAGACATTTCAAAGAGGGGTGAAGCCTCTTCTCACAGTGGGGTGTACATGGTTGCCGTGTCGTGTACGGCAAAACACACACCCACCAGCACCGTAACGCCCCCCGCCCCCAGTGTGTACACAAACCGACAGGCGACACCCTGACAGGCGCAACCAAACGCCGGTCGGTCCCGTGCTCACCAGTCGGCATACATTCCCCCGCATGGCGGAATGTTTTTAACCAAACCCCTCTTCTCCCCCTCCATGAAAAGGCGCTCTACTTGGCGGAACCGCAACCACCACCACAGCCCCCTTTCCTCCCCTCCCCCTTTTTTCTCTTCCCCCCCCGCTTCCTCAACTCCTACACCGGGGGACTCCGGCCAGCGTGGCGGCCCCTCTCCGAATGCCGGAGGATACTCCAAAAATCTTTTTCCTCCTTGGAGTTCTGCATGTGCGTGTGCGTGTGCGTGTGCGCGCGCGTGTGTGTGTGGAGGGGGGGAGGAAGGGAGGAGGAAGGCGCCCTAGCACAGCCATATCAAACCCTCAACAAACAGTTTGGTGAAAGAGGCCCCAAGAAGGAGGAATACTCAGTTTGCAAAGCGGCACCCCGCCCTAAACCAGCAGCTTCTCAGTACCGTGCGGGTCAGCAGAGCCATGAATACACACCAACAAGCTGAGACACAGCCTTCAAAGCGCCACTGTTACGGTCCCAGAGAACAATGATGATGATATAACTTTTCCTACGCGGAAAAAGTAACTAAACGAAACAGAAGCCACAGCCGCAAACGCAGCCGCCGCCGCAACCGCCGCCGCCGCCGCCGCCGCCGCCGCAACAGCAGCAGCAACAGCAGCAGCAACAGCAGCAGCAGCAGCAGCAGCAGCAGCAGCAGCAGCAGCAGCAGCAGCAGCAGCAGCAGCAGCAGCAGCAGCACTGTGAAAAGCAACCTAGAAGTAGCACCATGAAGTGCATGTCTGCGTGTGCGTGTGCGCGCGTGTGTGCACAAGGCCCCGCCATTTCCCCCCCCACCCGTCCCATCGCCACCCCCACAGCCTCAATGCGCATCATAGTGAGTAATCAACAAATCAACGATATCGCAAAGTTACCTTCTCAACGACAACCCTCCTCTTCCTCCATCCTCATCCCCCGGGCCCGCTCACATCTCCTCCGCCACGTCACGCCACGCCAGACAAACACAGTTTACGAAATATGCCGTTAAGACCCTCCTCAGAGGAGGGAGGGACTCGAAATAAAAACCAAAATAAGACGGGCCACATACATAGCTCGTGGCCCGCTCGACATCCGGATATCTCCTCAGCGCTGCTTCGCCCGGGCCCCGCCCTTCACCATCCTCAACCTCATCCTCATCGTTAACCTCAGCCTCCCCGTCATGTGGGTGTGGGGCCCTCTGTAGGGTGTGTGTGTGTGTATGTCCATCATCCCCCATGTCGGCCCAACTCCACACCTTCCCTCTCCCGGCCTCTCCCCCCCTCCCCCGCCCTTATATGCAAACAGTGTCGTGCATAAAATGCGTAGCAAACCACCCAAACCACTACCATGCCACCCCGCGTACAACAAACCATAAAGCCCCACTTCATGCCTCAGCCGCGCCGTTACGTGCGGAGAGCGCTCCCTTCCTCTTCCTCGCTGCCTCTTTCTCGAGGCTCTCTCCGCCGCCTGCGACGAGGGCTCCTCCGTTGCTAACGCCGCCGCCGCCGCCGCCGCCGTTGCGCCGCACCACAACTACACATCAGCGCTCCCCCCTCCGTTTCTCCGGTCGGCGGCTTTCTCACCCACTCACTCGCACGCTCACGCCAGCCTCAACCCCCAGCATCCAGCCCTCGAGTCGGACCATGCCACGTCAGATCAAATTCCATCAGATGGGGTTTTCTATGTCAATGTCAAGAGAGGGACACTTTTTCAAAGGGCACTTTTTTGATGGAAAACCCCGTCCATGTATTTACGATCCGTGCGTGCCAAGTATTCATGCGTGTATTTGGTGGTAAGGGAAGTGGTGGGGAAGTTCGCAAGGCCGCACCCTCCCCCTCTTGTCAGCGACCTCGCCTGCAATTGGCCTATGCCGGGCAGCTGACCACCACCACCACCACCACCACCACCACGACCACCACCATCATCTCCCCCCCCGTCCGCCTCCTCCTCCTCCTCCTCCCTCTTTCTCAATCGTTACTGGCTCCGGAGCCGTTGCCACAGGGCACCGCCAGACAGCCCATCGACGCGCTCGTGGCGGAAATCAATCCCGATACCTTGCTGCTAGTGCTGCCGCCGCCACCAGCGCTGCTGCCGCTATTGCCCCCGGCAGCCGCCGCCGCCGCCGCCGCAGCAGCAGCAGCGGCACATGAGCCGCTGCCCTGCGTGAGGGAGAAACGAAGAGCCCCTGGTGACACCAGGCTCAGTAGCGCGCCGCTGCTGGCACAGCGGCTGCGCAAGGCGCCGGCGGTGGCGCCGGCGGCGGCCGACGGCACCTTGCCGATGCCAACAGGGGCTTCCGAGG